GTTAACATATATACATTGTTTTATCATTGATAAATCAGTATCAAGTAAACTCAATTGACATTATGACAATAGTTTGATTGTTGTTTTTTCTCAGCTTGAATGTGTTTTAAGAAACTACTGGTTATAAAAGTTATATTCAAAATTTCAGGGCATGTGAGCCTTTTAACATCTCTGTTAAGTGAAAAGAACAAATTAGATAAATTACTTTCCAAAGTGTTAAGAATGGTGTCAGCTGTCTGGCGACTTTTTGGCGACTGATTTAATTACATTTTTAGACCAACAGAATAGGAAATTACTTACGGAGACAATACTGCATGGCTGAGCGGGACTGGACACATCTGCAGTGGCTCTGGGGACAGGGGCTGGAACTTGAGCATCTGGTGTCTGTACAATCATGAAGTAAAAAATAATAGATTTTGTAAATATAACATTACAATAACTTTAACTCATCCTAGATTATATCATACGCTACAGTTTAAAAGTTTGAGGTCTAAATGTTTATAAAAGAAACCTATTCTGTTCACCAGAGTTGCATTTGATCAAAAATACAGTAAAAACAGTAAAAAGATATGGTTACATTATGAAACATTACTACAATTTAAAGTTGTGAAATGTAATTTATTTCTATGGGGGCAAGAACACATTTTCAGCATCATTACTCCAGTCTTCAGTGTTACATGATCCTTCAGAAATCATTCTATTGAACATAAACATTCATTACTATTAGTTGAAAATGTGAAAATGGCTGGTACTTAATAAAACTGCATTAGTGGTTGTCACGCTTACTGTGTTGAGGAAAGCGCACAAAGATGAAAATGAAGCGTAAATAGTCTTTAATTAATCCACACAGAGGAAGGCAGTAACACACGGACCAAGACAAACTGAACAAACTAAAGCTTAAGTAGACAGACCAATGAGGGACGAATGAGTAAATTAACTAGACACAAGTGAACTGAATAACATAATCAAGGGGAGACAGAAACTAGGTCAAGGAACATGAGGAGAGTTAACACAACAAAGTCCATAAATGTGACAGTGGTATTTTTCAGAATTAAGTTTGAAGAACAGCATTTATTCGAAATAGAAATCCTTTGTAACATTAAATGTCTTTACTGAGATTTTTGATCAATTTAATGCCTCCTTTTTCAATATCTTTAAAAAAAATAAAACTTACTGACCCAAAACTTTTGAATGGTAGTTTGTGTGAAATCTATTTATATAATATTGCTTTTTTCTTTGTTAAAATATGGTTTTCTGGTATTAAAAAATATTTTTAAAAGTTTAATAATTTGGATAGAATGGAAAGTGGAACGTGTCTTCATAGAATACAATGTAGATTATGCAATTACTTACAGAGACAGTGGTGCTTGGTATAGAGGCACTAGACACTGCTGCGCTGGGCTGGTCTTCAACCTGGGAAGGTCTCCTGGCCACATTAAGATTCGGTTTTGCTGCAGCAATGTGAGAGCCGGTAAATCTTGGTTTGGTATACTAAAAATGTGAGAAGACACAATGTGTTATAATAGCAAGCATTACTATTTATTTTAATATTACTATTTTAAGTAAATGCAGACTTCAAAAATACTTCTTTCTGAATGGAAGTGTAGTCCATAAGAGGAATGATTCATTAGCAGTACTGACTCTTGAAATAACTACAAAGTATTTGCATGGTGGAATAATTATTAACATGTGTACAATTAATAATAGCCAGCGTGTATGTGGAATGTTACCTGAGATATAGAATGAAAAAGAGAAAATGTAGCTTTAACACATGAGAAGTATAGAGAGAGATGCCATGAGGGACATGAGTCTAGCTCAGTGACCTTCAACCCAGGCCGAGCTCAGTTAGAGAGGAAGAGGACAATCCAAGAGTAGAGCCCAGAGATGAAAGAGAGAGAGCACACAGGTTACATTCTTCATTTATCCTTGACCATGTGACTTAAACCAAATCTGAGATATTCAAACCGACCAATCAGCAGACAACAGCTGCCCCCACTGTACAAGAGGTGTGACAATTAGTAGGTCTCAGCCAGCATCTCTTAGTTTTCTTGCTTTCTTCTTACTTTCTGAACTTCCTCGAATTTGAAGTGAACTCATACTTCAATGCTTTAAAAAAAAAATTGCAACTCACCATTGACAATTGTGCTGCAACTCTTGCTGCCACAGGAGCAGTAGGCTGGGGCTGGGGGTCCGGCTGACTCTGCTCCATGGCCTTCTTTGCTGTTCCAGCAGCAGCAGCAGGTTGTTCCACCACCCTTTGTGCTGGTCCAGTAGGGCTGGCAGTTGGCTGTTTAAGACAGCCCAAAAAAAATACATGTAACAATTCAGAAAGAAAACCATTTCAGTAAATAATACTAACAAAAAATACTTGCTACATTAATGTTACCTTTGGAGTGTGAAAACCACAGATGCATTTCAGCACACCTCCAAGCAAGTTTGTCTGGCCACGAGACAGCATCGGACATTTCTCAATCTGTAAGCATAATAACAAATGTAATGCACAATACAAGTGAGTCCCTTAACAGAGCATACAATACTTCATTAAATTCATATATTAATTAATTCATTGATTAATTTCTAGGACACGAGTCACTATTTATCTTATATACAGTGGTGTGAAAAAGTGTTGGCCCCCTTCCTGATTTCTTATTTTTTTTGCATGTTTGTCACACTTTAATGTTTCAGATCATCAAACAAATTTAAATATTAGTAAAAGATAACACAAGTGAACACAACATGCAGTTTTTAAATGAAGGTTTTTATTATTAAGGGAAAACAAAATCCAAAACTACATGGCCCTGTGTGAAGAAGTGTTTGCCCCCCTGTTAAAACTGTGGTTTATCACACCTGAGTTCAATTTCTCTAGCCACACCCAGGCCTGATTACTGCCACACCTGTTCGCAATCAAGAAATCTCTTAAATAGGACCTGCCTGACAAAGTGAAGTAGACCAAAAGATCCTCAAAAGCTAGACATCATGCCGAGATCCAAAGAAATTCAGAAACAAATGAGAAAGAAAGTAATTGAGATCTATCAGTCTGGAAAAGGTTATAAAGCCATTTCTAAAGCTTTGGGACTCCAGCGAACCACAGTGAGAGCCATTATTCACAAATGGCAAAAACATGGAACAGTGGAGAACCTTCCCAGGAGTGGCCGGCCGACCAAAATTACCCCAAGAGCACAGCGACGACTCATCCAAGAGGTCACAAAAGACCCCACAACAACATCCAAAGAACTGCAGGCCTCACTTGCCTCAGTTAAGGTCAGTGTTCATGACTCCACCATAAGAAAGAGACTGGGCAAAAATGGTCTGCATGGCAGAGTTCCAAGACGAAAACCGCTGCTGAGCAAAAAGAACAAAGGCTCGTCTCAGTTTTGCCAGAAAACATCTTGATGATCCCCAAGACTTTTGGGAAAATACTCTGTGGACTGACGAGACAAAAGTTGAACTTTTTGGAAGGTGTGTGTCCCATTACGTCTGGCGTAAAAGTAACACTGCATTTCAGAAAAAGAACATCATACCAACAGTAAAATATGGTGGTGGTAGTGTGATGGTCTGGGGCTGTTTTGCTGCTTCAGGACCTGGAAGACTTGCTGTGATAAATGGAACCATGAATTCTGCTGTTTACCAAAAAATCCTGAAGGAGAATGTCCGGCCATCTGTTCGTGACCTCAAGCTGAAGCGAACTTGGGTTCTGCAGCAGGACAATGATCCAAAACACACCAGCAAGTCCACCTCTGAATGGCTGAAGAAAAACAAAATGAAGACTTTGGAGTGGCCTAGTCAAAGTCCTGACCTGAATCCTATTGAGATGCTGTGGCATGACCTTAAAAAGGCGGTTCATGCTCGAAAACTCTCCAATGTGGCTGAATTACAACAATTCTGCACAGATGAGTGGACCAAAGTTCCTCCACAGCGCTGTAACAGACTCTATGTAAGTTATCGCAAACGCTTGATTGCAGTTGTTGCTGCTAAGGGTGGCCTAACCAGTTATTAGGTTTAGGGGGCATACACTTTTTCACACAGGGCCATGTAGTTTTGGGTTTTGTTTTCCCTTAATAATAAAAACCTTCATTTAAAAACTGCATGTTGTGTTCACTTGTGTTATCTTTTACTAATATTTAAATTTGTTTGATGATCTGAAACATTAAAGTGTGACAAACATGCAAAAAAATAAGGAATCAGGAAGGGGGCCAACACTTTTTCACACCACTGTATATATAAAATCAAAAGTGAGTTACTTTCCAAAGTCTAGATGTTTTTTTTTTCTATCATTGTTTTTTATTGTCTATTTATTTAATTTTTGTTATTAATATTTTTCCTAATGTATTTTATATTTTTATTTATTTTAGGATATTTTTTCAATATTTTAACCCAGAGTCCTAATACCTCACATCTTAAATATCAAGAACACGTATTAAACAAATGATTAAGGAACATGATTAACATGAAAATACATACATATCATGTATGCACTACTGTTCATATTTGGAGTCAATTATTAAATTATTTTTTAAGAAATTGAAACGTTTATTCAGCAAAAGTACAGTAAATTGATAAAACGATATGAAGACAATTGATAAATTGTCAAAAGTGACAGTAAAGACATTTATAATGCTAAAAAAAAATATTTCTTCTTTTTTCTTTATTCATCAAAAGAAAAATAATACACTTTCCACACATCAAGCAGAATATTTTCAACTAATAAGAAGAAATGTTTATTAAGCATCGGATCAGCATATTAGAATGATTTCTGATCATGTGACACTGAAGACTGGAGTAATAAAGTTTATGTAATAAACTAGAAAACAGTTAATTTAGCTGTAGTGATATTTCACAATATTACTGTTTTTGACTATTTCAGATCAAATAAACACAGCCTTGGTGAACAGAATCTTCTTTCAGAAACAAAAATCATACTGACCTTACTGAATCTTTTTGAATGGTAGTGTATGTCCAGCATCTTTAGTGTTGTATTTATATTGACTCTTGTTTTGTAGGCGATAAGAGGGAGGATAGAGAGGACGGCATTCTATTTACTAATGAAGAAGAGAAGGAACAGTGGGAGGAAGATCAGCGGGTGAGTGCTTAAACTTCATATAGTCATTTTCCTCTTTAAACGTTCTCTTTATGTTCTTAGGATTCTGAATATGTGTTCCTGGTCTTAATGTGCGTAACTCGTTAGCACATATTAATTCATAGAAAACTTTGTTTGTTTTTTTTTGCTGCAAAATGTAAACAGTTTTATCTCTATATATAAAGTTGGATATATATTATATAATATATATATAAATATATATATATAGCAGATTTCAACTTCCTGATTTTTATATTTTATATTATATACTGTGTATTATCACCTAGCCCTTTACATAAAGTTGGATATATAAGTATGTGCATGTTTTATCCGCATACATACTTGTGTAGGGTCACATACAATGTGTTCCATATCTCAGCTGCTTGATTGCTTGTATAGTCGCAATATGTGAAATATATTATCTCCCAGCTTTAATCTGCTAAATGCATAAAGATATTATAAACATTAAGATCAAGATTTTCTGTAAATCTGCTTTGAAACAATGTTTTGTGAAAGTCAATTTGATGACTAATAAATGTTACCAATATCCTTTTTCATTCATAAACCCATCAAATTATTAAAACCATAACAAGTTCAGTTCATGTTCACGTTGTTATTTTGGCGAGCACTCACTGTGTTATGTTCAAACAGCAAGCTGATCGAGACTGGTACATGATGGATGAAGGTTTTGATGAGTTCCACAACCCCTTGACATCCAGTTCAGAAGAATATGTGAAGAAGAGGGAGCAGATCCTACAGAAGCAGACCCAGAAACGCATCTCAGCGCAGAAACGGCAAATCAATGAGGTACCGATGCACATCCTCACCCATCTGCACCTTAAAGACCTCATCACGTCTGTCGTTCTTACACATGTGTTTCTCTTCAGGATAACGAACGCTGGGAGACCAACCGCATGCTCACCAGTGGAGTGGTTCAGCGTTTGGAGGTGGATGAGGACTTCGAGGAAGACAATGCAACCAGAGTGCATCTGCTTGTCCATAACCTCGTGCCACCCTTCCTGGACGGGAGGATAGTCTTCACTAAGCAGGTACAGACGTCTCTAAGCATGAATGTGCTTATTTGTGAGTCACCAAACTTGTGAGTCTTTAATTGATGATTTTGCATTTGATTCCAGCCTGAGCCGGTCATTCCAGTGAAAGACGCGACCTCAGACATGGCCATCATCTCCCGCAAGGGCAGTCAGCTGGTCCGACGACACCGAGAGCAGAAAGAAAGAAAGAAGGTGCACATATGGTTTTCATGTTTCATTTACACTCCGCTTACTTCAGGGCAGTAGTGTAGATGTAATTGTTGTTACGTTTGGTTCTTTCACCTGACAGGCACAACACAAACACTGGGAACTCGCTGGCACCAAACTGGGAGACATCATGGGAATCAAGAAAACCGAGGAGGATGGATCAGATGGAAAAGCTGTTGGAGAAGATGGAAATGTGGATTACAGGTAAAAATAATGTCACTCATATCATATCATTTTCTGATTCTATCTATTTTTAAATAGTACAAAATTATTTCACAGTATGTCTCTTATGGGACAAACGTTTAGATTCATTCCCTCTTGTAGACACACTTGGTCATGATCTACATGATGCATGGCAAAGTGTCATCACTACTGTTCAAAAGTTTGGGGTCAGTAAGATATTTTGTGAAAGAAATTAATGCTTTTATTTAGCAAGGATGTCGTAAATTGATCAAAAGTGACAGTAAATACATTTATAACGTTGCAAAACATTTCTATTTCAAATAAATGCTGTTCCTTTTGAACTTTCTATTCTATAAAGAATCCTGAAAAATAAAATGTATCATGATTTCCACAGAAATATTAAGCAGCACAACTGTTTTCAACATTGATAATAATCAGAAATGTTTCTTGATCAGCAAATCAGCAAATTAGAATGATTTCTGAAGGATCATGTGACACTGAAGACTGGAATAATGATGCTGAAAATTCACAAGAATAAATGACTTTTTAAAATATATTACTGTAGAAAACAGTTTGAAATTGTAATAATATTTCACAAAATCACAGGTTTTACTGATCAATTAATTTTTTTTTTATGGCTTATACTTTAGGAGACTTCTTGCAAAAAACATTTGAAAAATCTTTTAATTCTTTCCCCGCCAGCATTTTGATGATTTTCACTAAAATTTGATGGCCTCCAGAATATTTTGCTGTATGAATATTTGAATATGCAATAGACCAAAATAAAGACCAGAACCTCTACTTTTAAACAAAAAAAAATCTGTTTTATTCTAGCTTAAAGCATTCTTTTTTTTATCAACACTTGAATATAGGTAGGTTTCATAAAAATGCATAATTTTGAGCAAAAAGGTGAGAAAATCACATTTTTATCAAAAACTACATCTGGGTAATATTCAGTACGATTATCAAAGCATAAATCCAGTAAATCGCTTCTATCAACACCTCCAAAGCTTGCACAGACATATACCACTTACTGGATCAACATTTTACTCCGTAACATTACGCAGTTTTCATTTATATGCTGCCATTGCTGATGATCGCATAATTTTTCATATGCATCTGTTTACATAAGAGATCGCTCGTTTCTCCGTCCTGTACACATGTGTTTTTGTTCGCGAGGTTTTGTACTCGTTCAGAAGATGTGTAATAGCACCCCCTAGTGTATAACAGTGAAAACACGAAAAGCCGTAAAAACTCGTCTTTGGCGGGGAAGCGTTGTCTTCTAAAAGACGAGATAACTCGTCAATGGCGGGGAAAGAGTTAAACGGTAGTGTAGGTATATTTTATATATTTGATATCAAGCATGTAGTTTTCCCAGCTCCGCTTGGCATATTTTAGCATGTTTAAATTCATTCCACAGAATGCTGCAGTTCTTTCCTACAAAATCAGCTCTTAAATTGAAAAATCTTCTCTGTTGATTCTTCATGGGCCTCTTTCTAATCTTTCATGTTTTCAGAGCGGAGCAGAAGTTTGCTGACCACATGAAGGAGAAGAATGAAGCGAGCAGTGAGTTTGCTAAGAAGAAGACTCTATTACAGCAGAGGCAGTATCTGCCCATCTTTGCTGTTCGCCAGCAGCTGCTCAACATCATCAGGTCCTGATGACACTTACATATGCTTTGTTAAATACAAACTCTGATACTAAATTCGTGAGCTCATGTGTCTGCTCACCCGGTATGCTGATGTGTTCTTTGTGTTTTCTCTGGCAGGGATAACAATATTGTGATTGTGGTGGGGGAAACGGGCAGTGGTAAGACGACTCAGCTGACGCAGTATCTACATGAGGACGGTTACACCAGCTATGGCATGGTGGGCTGCACACAGCCCCGCAGAGTGGCAGCCATGAGCGTGGCCAAGAGAGTCAGCGAAGAAATGAACAGTAACCTGGGAGAAGAGGTTGGTGCCCAACATCTTATGGACCTGGACCAATTATCTCTACATTTATTTGACAAAATGTATTGATGTTATGGAGACATACTACCGCCTAGTGAATGTGCATGTTATTTTACTCAGAAGGCAATACTGAGAGGATGATGCAGTGGAATAATGTAAATCAGGGTTATTATCATGAACTAAAACTCAACTAAAACCATAAAAAAATCTGTTATTTATCTGTTATTTGTTATATAAACATTAAAGGGTTAGTTCACCCAAAAATTAAAATTCTGTCATTAATTACTCACCCTCATGTCGTTCTAAACCCGTAAGACCTCCGTTCATCTTCGGAACACAAATTAAGATATTTTTGATGAATTCTGAGAGCTCTCTGACCCTCCCATAGACAGCAATGTAAGTAACACGATCAAGGTCCAGAAACGTAGCAAGGAGATCGGTAAATAATCCATGTGACATCAGGGGTTTTACCGTAATTTTACGAAGCTACGAGAATACTTTTTGTGTGCAAAAGAGAAAAAAAACGACTTTATACGCCGTTTACTTTCAGTAGATATTCTCCAAAATTGCGCTAGGGTGACGCGGAGGAGACGAATTGTTGAATAAAGTCGTTATTTTTTTTCCTTTTGCGCACAAAAAGTATTTTCGTAGCTTCGTAAAATTACGGTTGAACCCCTGATGTCACATGGATTATTTTACCGATCTCCTTGCTACGTTTCTGGACCTTGATCGTGGTAATTACATTGCTGTCTATGGGAGGGTCAGAGAGCTCTCAGAATTCATCAAAAATATCTTAATTTGTGTTCCGAAGATGAACGGAGGTCTTACGGGTTTAGAACGACATGAGGGTGAGTAATTAATGACAGAATTTTCATTTTTGGGTGAACTATCCCTTTAACTGAAATAAAAATTATATATATATATATATATAAGATTTTATTTCAGCTAGTTGCCAAGGCAAGATTTCGAATTTTCTTTTAGTTTAAGTACTAAAGTAAATAAAATTAATAAAAACTATGTAGATATATTTTTTAAAAATTACCTAAAATAACACTGATGTAAATATAAATAAACTGTTTAGAAAGGATAAGTTGCTATTATATGTTAATAAAGTAATGGCATTGTTGGTTTCTAGATTTTGATTAGCATCCATGAATTAACCAAAGAAGTATTTATTGTAATATAATTGTAATATATTTAAATTGTGTAATTTTTGAATTTTATATATAAATTGTAAAATATACTATGTATATGTTGATTTCTGAAGGATCATGTGACGCTGAAGACTGGAGTAATGGATTCACAGGAATAACATGCATTTAAAAAATAATACAAGTAGAAAAAACTTATTTTAAACTGTAATAATATTTCAAAATATTACTGTTTTTGCTGTAATTTTATTCAAATAAATACAGCCTTGTTTCTTGAGCACCAAATCAGCATATTACGAATGTTTTCTGAAGGATCATGTGTCACTGTAATGATGCTAAAAATTCAGCTTTGCCATGACAGAAATAAATTCCATTTAAAAATGTAAAACAGCATTTTATTTAACCATGATTTTTTTCATGGCTAAGGGGTTTTATTGCTTGAATGTTTACACCAGGTTGGTTATGCCATCCGTTTTGAAGACTGTACATCAGAGAAGACTGTAATAAAATACATGACGGATGGGATTCTTCTGAGGGAATCTCTGCGGGAGTCAGATCTGGACCACTATAGCGCGGTAATCATGGACGAGGCCCATGAGCGCTCCCTCAACACTGATGTGCTCTTCGGGCTGCTCCGAGAGGTGAGCGTTGTCTCTAGCTTCACACGACTTCATAGGATTGAATGGCAAACTGTTTTCATCATAGTAAATTTAATTGGTTTTCATGCACTAAATTTGATTGTTGCTTATATGGATAGTTAAAGACTACTGTTGAATTTAGAGTTTGATACTGATGAGTCATCTTCTCCCTTCTTCATTTTATCAACCTGGCTTTTTGATTACTTAGGTGGTGTCTAGACGCTCAGACTTGAAGCTCATTGTCACATCTGCCACCATGGACTCGGACAAATTTGCAGGATTCTTCGGCAATGTTCCTATTTTCCACATTCCCGGCAGGACGTTCCCAGTGGATATCTTGTTCAGCAAGGTGGGGTGTTAATAGCGTCTTCAGTTAAAGCTGAAGCTGGTTGGGGTGCTGTACTGATGCTGAGTGTTGGTGTGATTCAGGTTCCTCAGGAGGACTATGTGGAGGCGGCTGTGAAACAGTCCTTACAGATTCATCTCAGCGGGATGGTGGGTGACATCCTCATCTTCATGCCTGGTCAGGAGGACATTGAGGTGAGGAGATTCTTTAGTCATGCAAATGATGTTGTGAGTGGAATCACAATTTATATACACTATTAATAATACACTACCGTTTCCCAAATTGTTAGCTAATCCTAATTGTTAGCTAACTATGGTTGTAGGTTCCATTGAACTCTATTGGTAATGACAGAACTTGTGAACATAGTTGCTTGTGGGAAACGCACCCCAGGTTAGGTTTGGGGTCGGCAAGATTTTTAATGTTTTTGAAAGAAGTCTCATGCTCACCAAGACTGTTTTTATTCAACAAAAATACAGTAAAACAGAAATGTTGTGAATTGTTACAATTTAATGTAATATTTTTTTTTAATGTATTTTAAACACAATTTATTCCTGTGATGGTAAAGCTGAATTTTCAGCATCTTTACCCCAGTCTTCAGTGTCACATGATCCTTCAGAAATCATTCTGATATGCTGATTTGGTGCCAAAGAAACATTTCTTATTATCAATGTTTAGCTTTTGCTGCTTTAATTTTTCATGAGGCATCTTTTTCAGGATTCTTTGATGAATAGAAAATTCAAAAGGAAAGCATTTGATAAATGCATTAATCAAACCTTTTATCAGTTTGATGCATTCTTGCTGAATGAAAGTATTAATTTTCTTTTCATATATATATATATATGTGTGTGTGTGTGTGTGTGTGTGTATTTGTGTATAGATAGAAGTTTGTGATGACAAGTGATGTTTGTGCTGCTGCAGGTGACGTCAGATCAGATTGTGGAGCGACTGGAGGATCTAGAGAACGCTCCGGCCCTGGCAGTGCTGCCCATCTACTCCCAGCTGCCCTCTGACCTGCAGGCCAAGATCTTCCAGAAGGTAAACCTCTGTTACTGTTGGATACTCTTAAGATCCTGATCATGAGACAAAAAGCATTAGAGGTTTGTGAACTGAACTTGTGTGTTTTTGACAGGCTCCTGATGGAGTGAGGAAGTGTATTGTCGCTACAAACATCGCTGAGACGTCTCTGACCGTGGACGGCATCATGTTTGTGGTGGATGCTGGTTACTGCAAACTGAAGGTAAAACCAAATGAAACTGCTTTCTTTAATAGGGGAATGGCACAGCTGATACTAACAGTATTATTACTTTGTGTTGTTTAGGTGTTCAATCCCCGTATTGGCATGGATGCGCTGCAGGTTTACCCCATCAGTCAAGCCAATGCAAACCAGCGGGCTGGAAGAGCAGGAAGAACAGGCCCAGGACAGTGTTACAGGTAAGAACAGATCAGGAAAGCGGCAAACAAAGTTTGACAATGGCAAAGTTTATAGTGCGTCTAAGTCAGAATTTAATGTCCATGGAATGATTCTGTGTAAAATAAGTGATTTAGTGAATTAAGAATCTCAGTTGAGAATTGAGAGTCCCTCTTCATCATCAGATTGCTAAACAACCCGTTTATTTATTTCTTTATACTTTTAGTACTTCAAGTTAAACTAAATGAAAATGAGAAATGTTTTCTTGGCAACTAGCTGAAATAAAATAAGTCATTTTTAAAATAATTTAATTGTAGTTATTTTATTTATTTGTATTTGCGTTTTTATTTATTTACGTTTATGTTACGTGATATTATAAAAATCATGTTACCACAAAAAAAGTGAAATATAAAATGCTCTGCAGTGCCTTTTTGTTATTTCAAAAGGCAGAGGAAATTAAAGTCACAATACAATGAAGTAGTGATGAATCCTTTCTTTTGTATTGTGACGTACATCCAAGTATGACAGATTATCGGAAAATAAATAATGTAGAGCGCGGACTTGGTTCTATCCATGAATTGTTCATTGGATTTTGAGATGTGGGCATTTCACTCACAGTAGAAAACAGATGAACGTGAGCTTGCACAGCAGGTTTAAGTGAACTAAATGATAGGAGAAGTCCTGCATACGTCACCAGAGAGAAGTCTGTCCTTTACACCGGAAGATCCAGTTAAGATATTTTGATGATAAATTCAGAGGTTAAAAAAAGAAAGAAAGGAAAAGTAAAACACATGCATGGTTATATTTTCATTTCACGACAACTTTATGGCAAAACTTGAGTGATGAAACAGTAAGTCATTTTTTTTTTTTGATCCGGTACTTTGGAACGAATTATTCAAAAAAGTGAATCACTCAGGTGTCTCTGTAGTGTAAATACAGACTCTGTTCATCTGCCTGTATGAGCAAAGAGAGACCAGTGTGTTCATAAGCTTTCGTCAGATCACCAGTCCCTCTTTTCTGAAACATCTATCAGTGAGGCAGGATGGGGACGGGACGGGACGATGATCTTGAGAGGATTTCACACAGTTTAATTTTTGTTTGCACCTCTGAGAATGTGAGACAAAGGCCCAATCCCAGTTCTATTTTATACCCCTTCCCCTTCCCCTACCCCTCCAACCAAAAGAGAATCGAGACACCCCGACCCCTTCACGGGAACGCGCGAAACGGAGGGGTAGGGGAAAGGGGAAGGGCTAAGGGGTAGAATTGGGATTGGGCCAAAGTCTCCTGTGGGCTTTTTGACTGTGACCTTTCTCAAATCTGCACAGACGTGGAGATGCGGCGACACGCTGTCTCACTGTTGTGCGGTCACACAAAGGAAACTCACACAGGGGGTTGTTTTGCCTCCCTGTGAGTGTCTCTGGCTGCTCGTGAAAGTGTGTGGCCCATGACAGATTACATATATCCTTTAACAAACATCTGTGCATCAAGAATCAATTCTGTTCAGCCAGGTGCCTTTTGCGTGTTGAATCCATAACTCAGAAGCTCTGACTGTGATTGCGGCATCTTCACAAGAGCTAGACTGACATGCATAAATGCATATGCTGTACTACAGAGCTTCCCGGAGTTCCTTCTTCACGCTATCTTCTGAGGGATTATCCATTTAGTTGAATAGCTGCAGAAATCTGCTGTTCTCTCAGATCTTTCTCTATGGAGTGATGAGGTGAGCTGTGATATTTTAAGATGCTCCGAGGTAGTTTGGGAATTGCTCATTGTTATGGGCTTTCATCTAGATCTTCTAAAGGTGGGAGGTAGAAAACTTTTTAGTGGTGTGCTACATTCATCTGTTTGATTAACTTCTCAAGTCTTCATTTGGACCTTTTGCATTAAATATGCTTAGGCGGTTTCCTTTCTAGACATCTCGCCCACTTGTCTTTATTTTATTCCATTACTTTCTTAAAAAATTAATAATTTGAGAACCATTCCTGACCTGTTTGTGAAAGTGATGCTTCATCAAATGGCCAAAAATTGCAACAATATTAAAATATTAATTTATTTCAGTATTATGTATATGCTATTGTAGTATTTATTAATATTTTGAATTAGGGCTATCAAAACAATGAATCCTGATTAATCACATCCAAAATAAAAGTTTGTTTACATAATATGTGCGTGTACTGCGTATATTTATATGTATATATAAATGCACACAGATATATACACAGTACACACATATTATGTAAACAAACTTTTATTTTGGATGTGATTAATTGCGATTAATCACGATTAATCGATTTGACAGCCCTATTTTGAATTTGCTTTTATTTTTAGATTTTCAGTTTTAGTTTTAATTTAAATCGTCTTTGTCATATTTATTAGGTTTTTTTGTCATAGTTCTATGTACAGTAGCTTTAATTTCTTTTTATATCCATTTTAGTCATTTTAGTACTTCAACTTATTTAATTTGTTAGTTGCTACGTATGAAATTAATATTTATTTGTTTGTTTGGAATAATAAAGATTTGTGAATGTTTTTGTAAGACGTCTCTTATGCTCGCCAATACAGTAAAAACTAATATTGAGATTATATTGAGAATTACACATATAAACCGCTCTCTACAATGTGTAAGCACCCTAACAAGAAATGTATCACTCGCCACTGTATCACATTGTGTCTGGCTTGGACATGTCTTCCACTTCATGGACCCGCCGCCTGAAGACAACATGCTGAACTCCATGTACCAGCTGTGGATCTTGGGAGCGCTTGACAACACAGGTGAGACTACCAGCTTCAGACACTGCCCTGAGAAAGAGAATCAGCGTAAGACCATTTAAATCTTAGATTTTTTTTATTTTATTTTTGGTGTTATTTAAAGTGAAATAGAATCTTTCAAGTCAACAAGAAAATCAAAATTCTTAGTTTTTATGGAATATTGGAGTATTTGTTATAAATAATTTATCCATGCATGTAATTTTTAATCAAAGCATTAACCGTAATGGCCAGACAAGTTTCAGTGCTTCCCTTCCATCAACCTGTCACTCACATGATTGTCCATTTTGCAACGCCCACTTTCTATGATCCAATCAGTTCCCAATCGACAAAATTAAGTCCTAGCCCTACATGTTTTTATTTCTCATTCGATGAGTCTTTCACTCATTTATACGGCACAATAGGGGAAAATTGTTCAATTGACATTTCATGCTGACTTTAACGTTTGTTTGTTTTTTTCAGTAATTGTTGCACATGCTTTTCGTATAGTTTTTGTGTTATTGGGTAATAATTGTATTTTACTGTATTATTTCAATGTGTATTGTCAGCAACAATGTCTAATATTCTGCTCTGAAAATTTCACATTGTGTGTTAGCTAAAACTTTAACCACAAATAAACATGTTCATTGTTTGAAATAAAAATAAACATTATCTGAAATAAAATCAAATATAAAAACATTAAACTTATTTCGGTTGCCAAGGCAACATTTCTCATTTTCTTTAGTTTGTTGTAGTACTAAAATAACGAAAACTAAATATAGACATTAAAAAAATAATAAAAATGACAAAAACAGCCTTTAATTAAAATGTAAAAAATTTAATGTAATGAAAATTAAAAAAGAAAATATAAAAATATCTAATCCAAATGTTAGGAAAAAATATAATGGTATATCAGTGATAGTAAAATAACACTTGATTCTGATATATTCACTAGACAGTGTTTGGATATATCAGTGTTTAAAGATAACTGATGGTAGTGACATTATTTTTATTTCGGGAGAAATCTCTTTTGAGTTACACTCAAGTGTATCTTCTAGTTAGGTAGATTGAAGCTTGTTAAGCGCTGCAGTGAAGTATTAAGGTCTTACTCAAAGTTCAGCTTTAGCAACTGAAGTAAAACTGTCTGTGTGACCAGAGAGGGATCTCAATCTCATTTCCTGCAGATCTCTCGGGGTTTGTGGGGATTTGACTATGTGGTGCACTTTTCCCTCTAGCTCTCGTCTCGTGCTAACAGCAGATTATTTCTGATTAAGGCTTACCTGCCTTACCTGCCAAATATCTTCTCTGCTTTTCACGGCGCTCTCTCACTAATCTTCTTAGTCTGTCATGTAATCTTTGAAATCTGAGCTTCTGAAAAAGTTTGATCAGAATCTCAAAGTGGAATCATTTTCCCACCATCAGCACTTTTGAAAGAGATGCTTTCTAATCCCTTTTGACTTTTTCCCCTGTATTTGAGGATGGTTTCTTCTCGTCTCTGTCTCAGGCGCTCTGACGCCCACCGGGCGGCTCATGGTGGAGTTTCCTCTGGATCCGGCTCTGTCTAAAATGCTGATCGTGTCATGTGACATGGGCTGCAGTGCCGACATTCTCATCATCGTCTCGATGTTGTCTGTGCCGTCAATCTTCTACCGACCAAAGGTACCAAGTATACATTGGTGAAGTATGTTTCCCTTGTACCTCACACACCAGAAAGCTGTGTGTGACCTGTAAAAGTGCTGTACATCCGGGTGCTGCTGTTTTCTAACTGTTCAAAACTGCTGTTACTCATCTAGGGTCGAGAGGAGGAGAGTGACCAGGTGAGAGAGAAGTTCTCGGTGCCTGAGAGTGATCACCTGACCTACCTCAACGTTTACCTGCAGTGGAAGAACAACAATTACTCCAGCATCTGGTGTAACGATCACTTCATCCACACCAAAGCTATGAGAAAGGTACGTTAACTTGAGGCGTCACTCTTAATCAAATTCATTTATTACAGGGGGGGCAATATCATTCTTTTTGTTATTTTTTCCCCCTGAAGTCCACATAGACTGGTAGCCAAAACTGGTAGCCAAGACGTCTCTGTCCATTACAGCTAAATGTGAATTTTTTTGCTGCTGTACCATTTAAAGGGGTCATATGATGTTGCTAAAAAGAACATTATTTTGTGTATTTGGTGTAATGAAATGTGTTTATCCTGAAAAAATGTCTACTCTACACTGCTCAAAACTTGCGTTTGGGTTGAAAATCAGCTCCTGAATGTGCAATTTCTTACCTATAAAAAGTTTCCATCTCAATAAAATGCGAGCGCATACAGCACGCCGGCATTAAAACGCCATTAAAAATCTTTATGAGCAAACGTGTCGCCCTCGCATTGGGAGTTCTGTGGAGAATCGGATATGTGTGTTTAGACGTAGGTCGGATGTCCAGATATCAGACGTGTATCCGATTAAAATCCACATTTGGAAGTGGCTCAGATCGGATGAAAAAAAATCGGATCTCGTGCGGGTTTTTGTGTTTACACGTGTGCAACAAATTCCAGTCTGTGTCAGATGTGAGCGAAAGATCGGATTTTTTGTGCCAGTGTAAACGCAGCCTAAGACTTCTACATAAATATCCTCTTCACATGGGGAAGTGAGTAGTAATATAAGTTGCGTCTGTCCCATCCTAAAATCACAACCTTAAAGGATGAGGTTGCCAGTTTTCAACAAGCTTTGTATGTGGGTGTTAAAGTTTCCTTGCCACAGTCTTTTTTTCTATAGTCATGTAATATTGATTTAAAAAAAGTTTTTGGCATTCTACTGCATAGACAGACAAGTTTTATTAAAAGACCAACTTGTCAGTGGAGAATTATTCCTAATCCAGCTGCTCGATGTTGGGATCCTTCAGACCTGTTATTTTATTATTATTTATATACTATTAAAGTTTTTGTGAATATATTCAATGGTCTTTTATTTTTATTTATCTTATAATTTTCATTAAAAAATTTTTATAATATTTATTCATTTTATTAATTAATTTATTTATTTATTTCCTGTTAGTAATTTTATTTCATCAACTTACTTCAGTTAGTTCCCGAGGCGACATTTTCATTTACTTTACTTTTTTCATTTAATATTTATATTGTATTTTATTTCAGCTTTATTTCAATTAACAAAAATGTTTTTAGAGTATTAGTTTTAGTTAATGATACTATCCCTGCTTAGGAAATATATTGAGACATAGGATGTTAATTATTAGCATTTTAAATATTTCTGTCCATCTAAATACAGGGTTTCTGCTGGCCTTAAAAAGGCCTTAAAAAGTCTTAATTTGCCCTTTCACAAATTAATACAAAACAAATTAAAACAAATCAATCAGAGCAGAAAGTCTTGAATTCATGAAGTCGTGGCATTAAATGTTGCATGCATTGCTAAAAATGATCTTCTTCAGTATTTTTGTCTTGTTTTCCAATACAAATTTCTAAACATCCTTAAATTAAGTTTCTGAGAAGTGAACAAAATCAGTGGAGTTTGTTTAAAACAAGAACAAATATCAGTCAGTGGGGAATGAAAACTTGTTCTAAGCCTATTGGCAGATCTTTGCTCTTTTTAAATCATAAACTCGCTTCATTTTGATCAATTTCACACAAACAAGATTTCTAATCTTATGTCATTTTGCTTCTTAAGTTAGTTTTTTGTTTTTTTTTGCCATGTGGTCATAAGGTACAATTAAAGATATTTCCATATTCTAGTGGTATTTTTTATCAACGTAAAAAATGTTTAAAAAGTAATGGAGATTGGTTGTATTTTAAAATTTGAAGTGTTGCTAATACAACACATTGGGCCTCATTTACGAAACGAACGTACAACAGAAAATTGGGCGTACGGTCGTTTCAACGCAAAACTTAGAATTTATCAATATGGACGTGAGCGGTGGCTACGATCACATCTCACGTCTGGTCTCAGCTCGTGTAGGCTACGCAAGTTTTTGAGTTACCTGAACTTGCGCGCAGCATAGTAAATATGGTGGAGAATTCTAGAATGACAGCATTTTGTTCATTTTTATTTTCCTGACCGTCAAACGAAGCTCATTAGTCGATCGTTAACCAGTAAGATTAGAATGTCTTTTTTGTTTGTTTGTTTTATACAGGACTTTAGCTTTATACGCGTGAATAGCAGCATAAATGAGACCATGAGGATTCAATCGTCGCATCATGCACCTGCTGCGCTTCTGTGAAAGGAGAAAAACAGAAATTAAGTCTATAAAAGGAATAAAATAAATAGGATCACACAAAATATATAATAGGCTATAATATAATTAACAGATTAACAAAAGGG